CTTGCTAGATGCCAGCCCTGCCCATGCTACCGGAAAGGACAAATCTGGGAGAACTCCCACTCTGGGAAGAGCGGCTGACCAGCCGCCTGTCGATGTATAAGCTCTTCTTCCTGCCTGACATCAGGGTGACATCAGCCCTGACATGCAGGGACTCGATGAGTCCCGGCAGCAGGTGCTGTCAGCAGTCACCTGGCCTTGCTGGCCGGAACAGGGGCCCCAGACTGGGTGACTCTGCGCCCGGCGTTCACCCAGGGAACCTTGCTGTGGCCACAGACTGTGTGCGGTCAGGCCTTGGCCTCAAGGGGGCAGCACTCACTGAAGTCCAGACTCCTCAATCCCGTCCCCCAGGCCTCTACCAGCCCCCCCTCCACCCCCACTCTCTGCAGGCCTTCCTGCAGGAGTAGCCTGCCTCCACCTGCCCCACTGGGACCTCCCACCCACACATCTGTGCTCCAGCCCCACCAAAAGGCCCTGCCCTTGTTCACAGTCCGTGCCTTTGCACCTGCTGTTCCCGCTGCCTATAAGCCCCATTCTCTACCTGGGAAACTCTTATACATCCTCCAGGACATAACTCAAATGTCACCTCCTCCATGAAGCTTTTCCTGCTCTTTCTAAACTGCCCCAAGTATTGTCAGCTCCACAGCCTTATCAAGTACAATGGGATGCTCCCCCAGCCCCACAGCACATTCTATAATCACTGGGAAAGCTTTCGAAAATACCATTCCACATTCTAATTCAGTGGGTCCAGGATTGTATCCAGGGCAATTCTAGGATGCCCATAGCCCCACTCTCTTTATCCCAAGAACCAATCAACATGGCACTGCAAATTGCTAATCCTTCTACATTTGCAGTACGGGTTATTATTTCTAAAGAATGTTTTCTCACTAAATTCATAAAAATTCCCAGAGGGGACAAGACAGGTCATGTCATCTCCATTTTACAGATGACAAGACTGAGGCTTTGAGAGGTAAACTAACTTTACTAAGGTCATACAACATGATTCCCAGGTGCAATGTAGTTCCCTTGACCTCTGTGTCATATCCCCCACACCTAGGCAGGGGCATCCTATCTGCGTGAGCTTTGAGGGCTAGAGGCAGGTCCTTGGGGTTGGAAAGCCCATCGATGCAGTATCTAGTGCACTGACATGTCCCAAACAGTCAAATAACTCTACCGTCAGTAAAACACACCTAACCTCCCTCTCATTTTCCAGAAGTGCTCCCCAATTTCCAGCCTAAGTTCTTCTTGCACCAGAATCATCCAAGTTCCTCTTGCTCTGCCCTCAGTGGAGAGGGGAGAAGCTGGTATCTCTCTTGGACATTCACCACTGGGGTTTTGAAGAACCCCCCCCGAAAAAAAAACCCCACACATGTAGAGAATGGAGAGCTCAAACTCTTCAACTGCTTATGTGAACAGAGGCCAAGAGTTCTGTCTGAGCTTACACAGTCACTGTAGCAAGTCACAGAAGCACAGGACCTGAGGCTGAAAAGTCAGAGACATGTCTCTGCTACACCATCTTCCGCTGTCAGGAGAACGTCAACAATTTAAAGAGGAACATCCACAAATGAGACCAGCTTTAAGGGAAGGTGACCAGACAGGTAAGGAATCCACAAGCCATCCCATACAACAGCCTGGGAACAGAAGCCCAAACAGATATGAGTCCCCTGGGAATTCCAGAAGAATTCAGAGAGCGCAGACTAGCAGACTTATCAGAGGTTACCCTGGAGACCAAGGCCCACTGAGGCCAGATTTGGATTCACATGAGAAAGAACTTTCTTCTTGAATAGACAGTTCTCATAAAAAGATATACAAAGAGCCAGTAAGCACATGAAAAGATGGTCAACATCACTATTTATTGTGGAAATGCAAATCAAAACCACAATACCACACCCATAAGGATGGCTATTTGAAAGAAAGAAAGAGAGGAAGGGAGGGAGGGAGGGAGAGAAAGAAAAAGAAAGAGAGAAAGGAAGGAAGGAAGGAAGAAAAAGAGAGAGAGAGAAAGAAAGAAAGAAAGAGAGAGGGAGGGAGGAAGGAAGGAAAGAAGGAAGAAAGTACTAAGTGTTGGCTAGGCTATGAAGAAATTGGAACCCTGCACATTGCTGATAGGAATGTAGGAATGTAAGGTGCAGCCACTGTGGAAACCAGTATAGTGGTTCTTCAAAAAATTAAAAATAGTATTACCATACGATGTAGCAACTACACTTCTGGGTATATACTCAAAAGAATTGAAAGCAGAGACCCAAACAGATATTTATACACCCAAGTTCATAGCAGCATTATTCACAATAGTCAAAAAAAGTGGAAGCAACCCAAGTGTCCAACTACGGATGAACAGATAAAATATGGTATATATCTACAATGGAACATTATTCAGCTTTAAAAGGGGAGGAAATTCTGGCACAGGTTATAACATGGATGAATCCTGAGGATGTTATCCTAAGTAAAATAAATCGCTCACAAAAAGACAAATACGGAATGATTCCACTTATATGAGGTACTTAGAGTACTTAGAGTAGTCAAACTCATAGAGACAGAGAGTAAAGTGGTGGTCACAGGGGCTGGAGGTAGGGGTGAATGGGAAGTTACTATTTAATGGGTATAGAGTTTCCGTTTTGCAAGATGGAAAGAGTTCTGGAGATGGATGGTGGTGATGATTGCACAACAATGTGAATGAATTTAACGCCACCGAACCACAAGCTTTAAAATGGTTAAAGTGGTAAATTATAAGTTATGTGTAATTTACCACAATTTAAAATTTTAAAAAAACAAGAAAGAACTTTCTAACAAAACAGGATTTCCTAAAGCTGTTTGTAACCATCTAAATTAAGTGGTTGGGATAAAAAGTAAACAGGTGTCGGCCTGTATCCAGAACATTTCCTCTGCACAATGTGATAAATGATTTGCTCCCCTTGCAAAGGCTCCTGAGGCCATGTTAATGTTTGGCCTTCAGATAATGAGCGGCTCAGAGTGTATCAAACCAAAGACAATCATGGACAGGGCAACACAATCTAGCCTGAAGGATGTTCTGATTTATTTAAATGGTCTTTCTAAGTAAGATATAGTAGTTAGGTCTCCCTTCTTGTCCAGGCCTTAGCAGGAAATGAACTTTTGAGGAGAGGATTCAATAGAAAGTCGCCTCCTGCTCTTGATGGACAGGAGCGGGGGACAGCACAAGAAAAGATCTGAGCCTGCGCTTGACACTGCCTACATCCAACTAACAAGACACCCTAAAGCCCTAAGCCCACTCCTCTGGCTCTCCCAGGACAGGAAAGACAAGGATCACACACTGCAAAGCCAGGGTAGGGAAAAGGCCATCACATGACAGCATCCATTCTGGGGGAAGAATGCCAGCCTACATATAAAAGTCTCCCTGAAGGGACTTCCCTGGTGGCACAGCGGTAAAGAATCCGCCTGCCAATGCAGGGGACACAGGTTGGAGCCCTGGTCCGGGAAGATCCCACATGCCACAGAGCAACTAAGTCCGTGCGCCACAACTACTGAGCCTGTGCTCTAGAGCCCGCGAGCCACAACTACTGAGCCCACGCTCTGCAACTATTGAAGCCCACTTGCCTGGAGCCCGTGCTCCACAACAAGAGAAGCCACCACAATGAGAAGCCCGCTCACCACAACGAAGAGTAGCCCCCGCTCACCGCAACTAGAGAAAGCCTGCACGCAGCAATGAAGACCCAACGCTGCCAAAAAAAAAAAAATTCTCCCTGAAGCCAGGGGTAGAAGAAAATGGCAGGGGTAGGGATGGGCCTGGACAATTTATATCATTCTATCCTTTGCTTTTTTTCCATACACACTCAATAAATGGGTATTTTATTATTTTTTAATTGTCTGGTATTTAAGAACAACTAATTTGGTCCAATTATGCTGCTGGACTAAAAAGATCTGACCCTGAAGCAAGCCTGGAAGCTATTCTAAAATAAGAACACTGGGAACAATGGGATGGGCTGCTACAAGGGATAGTAAGCTCTCCGTCTCTGGAAGCATTCAAGCAGAGGCTGGGTAACCACTCTCTGGGAGATTCCTGCACTGGGTATAGGTCTATTACATCCTGATTTTTCATAGGAAGGAGTCAAAAGATAATGTCTCAAATTATTTTCTCAGAAAAAAAAAGAAAAAAAAAAGCCATAAGTTTGTTATTCAGAGTGAAGGAGGCCACCAGCAGAAGAACTAGAAACAGAAACTGAGCAGCTTCCTCTAGAAAGCAGGGCTGGAAATGGGAAGGGGTGGGGCAAGGGACACATTATTATAAGCCCTTCTTTGCTTCTTTGCCATGAGAATGTATTAATTTGATAAAAATTAAGTTAAAAATAAATTCCCATGGGTTAAAAAAAAAACATTAGTCACACAGTTTCTAAACAATACATTTCTCAAAAATATTGAATTACATGGGAATGCTCACAAAATTTTATATATAAATACACACACACATAAATATACTCAGAATAGGAAAGACGTATAATAAAATGTTCTCACTGGTTTTCTCTAGGTGGTACGAATACTGGTGATAATTATTCTTTATATTTTTTGTTTAGAATTTTTCACTAATCGCATTATTACAGATGATTATTACTACCTTTAACATCTTTTTTTTTCAAGTAAAAAGCATTAGTTTACTGTGATAGGTTAAATATAGCTACAAATTCTTTGCGACTCCTCCCGTCAGGCTGTGGAGGAACTTTCCCCCCTTGAGTCTGGGCTGGCCTGCTGGCAGATGACAGACCTCAAGAAGAACCGAGAGCTCCAGCCACCAGCCAGAGTCAACCGTCAGATGTGGCAGTGAGGCCATCTTGGACAGTGCAGACCTGATGCAGCTGCCTTCATGATTCAGGCAAAACCTGCACAAGAGCTGCCCAGCTGACTGATTTTCAACGAATTGAGCAGATGAATGGTTGCTTTTTTACCATGAGTTTGGGGGTGACTTGTTACATAGCAACAGATAATTGATACAGTAACAAAGCTGAAACATCCCTTCCGCATTTCTCACATACCTGTCCAAGGGACGCCCGTGACCTCCTGGCTCCACTCACTCCATAAGCCATGCCCAAACTCCTCCTGGGCCCGAAGCTGCACCACATGCTTCATGCCACTCCAGGCGTCGTGGATGATGCAGTGATACTGGAGCTCCTTGACCTGAGGGCGAGAGGCGCAGGTGACTCTGGGGTGGGGCCTGGGTGGCACCAGGTTAAGCGGCTCCACAGGGACACGGGAGTCCTGGGACAACCCCAGCCCTTCAGCTGCTCCCTCTTGGGTCCGGTGGATGACTCAGCTGGGCAGAGATGCTCCAAAGGCTCACACCACCCTGGAGGCTCAGAGCCAGGTGGGGTTGCCGTCTGGGCCAACTGGTGCAGAAGCTGTAAGTCACAGCCCCTGCCCCCATGTAACACAGAATCTTGCAAGCCACACCCTTGACTTTCAGGCAGCCCATCTCTCTTCCCAGCTCACACTCGATCTCACAAACTGGCCTGCAAAGAGGAGACTGGCCTGGCATTATTATTCCCATTTTATAAATGAGGCAGCCAAGGCTCAGAAGGGTTCAGAGACTTACTCAAGGCCATGCAGGTAGTGAGTGGCTGACCAGGACCCAGAACTCATTTTCTTCTTTCTAGTACCCTTTCTACTACTCCTGAGTATCTAGGGGCTCTTTTCTGTCCAGAAGTAAAAGAAAAATTTACCATCCACATTGTGAATGTCTTTGATCGTTCAGCCCGGTATCGGAGCTCAAACTGTAACCTGTAGAAATATGAGTTCCAGGAAGGGGGGTCTTGCCAGGTGACGCTGAGCCAGCGGGGGTTTCTGTCCACGGCGGTGACCGTGACATTGACGGGTGGGTCAGGCTGCACTGTGGGAAAAGGGAGCACAGCTCCTATGCAGCAACAAGTTTGGTGCCAAGGAGAGACCCATGAAGACTGCAAGTCCCCAGCAGGCAGGACCCCACCTCCAGCCCCAGACCACTTCCCCAGGCACACCCTGACAGGGTGCTCGCCTGCCACAATCAGACCTCTGGCAAGTATCCCAAGGGCTTCCCCGGTGGCGCAGAGGTTAAGAATCTGCCTGCCAAGGCAGGGGATACGGGTTCGAGCCCTGGTCCGGGAAGATCCCACATGCCACAGAGTGCCACAACTACTGAGCCTGTGTGCCACAACTACTGAGCCCACGTGCCACAACTACTGAAGCCCGCGCACCTAGAGCCCGTACTCCGCAACTAGAGAGGCCACCGCAATGAGAAGCCCGCCCACCGCAACGAAGAGTACCCGCTGCTCACCCCACAACTAGAGAAAGCCCGTGTACAGCAACAAAGACCCAACACAGCCAAAAATAAATAAATAAATTTATTAAAAAAAAAAAAACTAAAGCCCAAAAGGCACCAGCTCACCAAACCCCTCACCGTCCCCTCCAAGAAGTCCATGAGGAACATTAAATCAAAAAAAAGGAAACAGTTGGAGGGGAGATGGAGGCCTGAAGAGCTTACTTACGGATTCCATAACCCTCAAATGTTTGGGGTCTGCTGGACTGGCTCCCAGCACTGTTGGAGACACACAGGGACACGACGTACAAAGAGTTGTCTCCCTCTGGGACTGCCAACTGGCAGGAGAACTGCTGCGACTCCGGGGAGTACTGGCACGGCTCCTGGAAGTCTTTCACCGGACTGCAGACACAAAACAAGGGCGGGGCTCGCTATCAGTTGCTGCACTTACTCAGGACAGGAGAGAAGAAAGGGCAGGGGTTAGGAGCTCAGGCTCTGCGGTCTGACCCCGGTTTTGTTTTGTTTTGTTTTTTATTTTTATTTATTTATCTTTGGCTGCATTGGGTCCTCATTGCTGTGTGCGGGCTTCTCCTAGTTATGGGGAGCGGGGGTTGCTCAATAGTTGTGGCACAGGGGCTTAGCCGCTCCGCGGCATGTGGGATCTTCCCGGGCCAGGGCTCGAACCCGTGTCCCTCGCATTGGCAGGCAGATTCTTAACCACTGCGCCACCAGGGAAGTCCCGTCCCTGGGGGTTTTAATCTCCACTTCACACTGAGTAGCACTGGGGATTCTGAGTAAATTATCCAACCTCTCCAAGCCTCTGTTTTCTCATTCGAAAATGGGAATATTAACAGTACCCACCTCACAGGGGTTTCTTAGGATTAATTCATAAATGAGTGTAAAACATCTAGCTTAGCATCTGGCATGGCAGTCTAAGGGGCTGAACTAGAGGGCGCGCTCAATTACCGTGGCATCAGAGAGGTAGTGCGTTCGGGCTCCCTGACAGGTCCTGGGCTCTTGGCACTGCAGGGGATGCAGAAAGGAATCAAGAGGCCCCACCCTGGCCTCAAGACACTAACAGAAAAGACCTGCCCTCAGAGGACTAGGACAGCCAGTAGAATGCCATCCCAGAAGCTCGAAGTGCTGGAAGGGTTTGCAAAGAGGTGGCAGCGTTTCCGGCAGTGAGCCCAGAAAGGAATCCTGGGTGATGAAGATATTAGAGGTGAGTCAGACACTGTCCCACCTGGCCTGGAAGCCTGAGACTTCACCAACTTGTGACATGTGTGGGCATGTGAGTCCAGGGCAGCCACTCACCCTGCCGCCTCAGTGACAAATCACCCATCAACCCCTGATTTGAGTTTTAACCCCAGGCCCAGCACAGACTTTCCTTCTGGGAAGCCTGCCCCCACCTTCCCAGTCTGAGTTAGGGCCTCCCTCCCTCCCTCCACCGTCACTCAGGCATCCATCCCACCTAACACTGAGAAGGTGGGGCCGTCTGCTTACAGGTGGGTACCCCCGTGGGGCTTGAGGACAGGGGCCCAGTCCTGTTTGCCTTGTGCCTCTCCCTCAGCCTAGTACAGCACCCAGCCCACGGCAGACGCCGAACTCGCCAAACACTTAGGGGGAGAACAAGCGAGCAAGCGCAGTGGGGCGAGGGTGTGGCTGCGGGCACACACACGAGCAAAAGAGCAGAACATACAAAACCTCTTTCCAGGGACCGGTTTCACCCCCGCAGTCCCAGGATGGGCCTGAGTGGGTTCTGGAGGCCCCAAGGCTCTCACAGTGGCTCCCCATTCCCCCTTCCTCAGTTCAGGGTAGACAGCCCAGGAGGAGGATGGACACGCCCGAGCTGCTGGCAGGAGGAGGCTGTGAGCTTAAATGCCCTGCCCTCTCTCATTCTTACTGTCAACACACAAATTACTCTAGTCCAAGTGTCAACTGAATAAAGCCTTCCCGGGGGCGGGCTGGGCAGCTGCCGGCCACTGTACAGAACATCCCATTTACGGGGGAATGCCTTCCTGGTGCCACAGAATTATATCCCAACTCAGCTTCGGGCTGTGGAGATTTCTGACCTTCCTCTACTTGGAGTGTGAACCTTCAGTCCTAATGGCATCTGCATCATGTGCAGATGGGCAACCTATACATGTCCCTGTGCAGAGACCAAAGCATAAATACCACCACCAGGTGACTCTCTGGAGACAGACGCAAGTGGAAACCAAAACACCCAGATGACGTCCGTCCCTGCTCGGATTTTTTGATACGCTAATGATTGCCAGCTCAAACTCAGTGGTAAACAAACATCTGGACTACGGAGACCTTGGCTCTGGGATGGAGACAGAAAACTGCAGAGATGTAACCTTCCCCCTTCCATCTGTGCCTGAACTCATCCCAGGTCCCCTCACTTTGTGCCACAGGGACCCCCAGGCAGGTGTGACTTCCTGCCCCACTGCCCCCAGCTCCCTCTCCCCACTCTATCACCACTTCCTCTCAGCTGCCATTAAAATGGGAAAAGCCTGATAAGCTCACAATCAGGACACTGATCACAGCTGCCCTTCCCCTCCCAGGACATCTGCATCTTCTTAAGAGCAACGCCCAAAACCTTTGTATTTTGAATGAAATCAGGCTGGGGTTTGATTCCGGGCAGAGCTACTTACTAGCTAGATGACCTTAAACAAGTTAACCAATCTCTGTGGTGCAGTTTCTCCATCTGTTAACAAGAAAAAGAACACCCACCCCCCCACCCCACCCTCGCTATTGTGTGGGTTAATAGGACAAATATTGTAGCACAGTGACCAGCACTGAGCACTGGTGGCGAAGTCTCAGCTCCCTCCTTCATTCCCTTCTCCTCGGTCCAAAGTACTTACTTACTTTCCAATAACATTTTGGAATCACTGGCCAGCCAGTCCCATTGGGCTCCTCTGAGAGCTGCCACCACTCCCAGGGCCTCAGTCAGGAAGGATGGAGAAGACAGACACACAGCCCACCCCAAGATACTTACAACTTCCTCACCAATAACACGGCCTTTGTGGTCGGGGACGGGGGACTCCGAGGACTCCACTCACAACCCACGTTGCTGAGGGGGCTCCTCCGGAAGCAGGAAAGCTGGGGCTCCTCGGGGGGAACTGGAAGGAGAGCACAGAGGCTGAGGAGGCAGCACACCTCACCGCCCGTCCGGGGGAGCCCTTGACTCAGCGCCCTCCCCCGACCCTGGCACCAGCCCGTACCACAGCCAAACAGCCACGCACAGATCTAACTGTGCTCGGGAAATCAAAGGATGCCAAAGTCCTCATGTCAGGCTATGAGGTGGGGCAAGTGAGGGGAGGTGCCTGGGGGCCAACTTGCCTAAAGGGGAGCAAGACTGGCACCAAAAGTTGGGGCTATGGGGCTTCCCTGGTGGCGCAGTGGTTGAGAGTCCGCCTGCCGATGCAGGGGACACGGGTTCGTGCCCCGGTCCGGGAGGATCCCACATGCCGCGGAGCGGCTGGGCCCGTGAGCCATGGCCGCTGGGCCTGCGCGTCCGGAGCCTGTGCTCCGCAACGGGAGAGGCCACAGCAGTGAGAGGCCCGTGTACCGGAAAAAAAAAAAAAAGTTGGGGCTATGGGGTCCCACAGGCCTGGTGGTGTGGCCTTGGGCAAGTCCCAACCTCTCTTCAGTTTTCTACAATAAAGTTAAATGATGATAAAATAGTCACCGTAATACTGCTGCCTCTCACTGGGACATTGGGAAGATGGTATGAGACACCAAGGAAGAACGTCCCTCAGCACAGGGCCTGGCACACAGGGCATCTGACTATAGGATGTCTTATGAGATGCAAAGGAGTTAGGAACCTACTAACTCTAACAATAAGAATAGTTCATTTGAGAGCTTACTATGTGCTATGCAGAGCTTTTAACACCATATTTAATCTTTACAACAACCCTGAAGTAAGTTAATAACATCAACCTTATTTTACTAACAAGGGAACTGAAGGGCAGAGAAGTTAAGCCGTGAAGGAGGAGGATTCGAACCCAGGCCCCTTGCCCTCGACCCCCCAAGCCCTAACCACACAGCAAGGCCAGCTGGACGGCATCTCCATCAGCCAGATGCCCCCACCCAGCTGGAAGCTCTACCAATCTCGCTGGCAAATGTCACTGGGCCTTTCCCCGAAATGCTTGGGCCAGGGAAATAACAGGAATTTAAAGGGTCAAGCAGGGAATCTCTCTCTGGAATGCGCAGAGCAGTGCTGGGAGCCGTCTCTGGGAGCTCTGAGGACACAACTCACCATCCACCAGCAAACGCACACTTCCAGCTGGGCGGCCGTCCTCGTAGCACGAATAGTTTCCAGAGTCGCTGAGCAGCACAGACCTCAGAAGCAGCCTCCTTCCCACGCCAGCCCATCTGCCTTGGCGTGAACCTGTGACCTGATTCCTGAGCACCCAGTGAACGGTGGCATTGTCCCCCGCTTCCCCACCTGGGCAGGTCAGGGTAACGCTGGCCCCTGGCAGGCTGGTCAGCACATCGTTTGCCACCTCTGCAGGGGGAGAAGACACTGGGTAAGCCCACAGCAACCTGACAAAGGGACTTCATCCGATTCGGGAAGCCACAAAAGGCTCTAGTGCTAAACATCTCTCAAGTCCATCCATTGGCCCGGGCCACCATCACATCACCTCTTCCTGGGTTACGGCAATGGCCTCCCTGTGGCCTCCCAGCCCCAGTCTTGGCCCTCTCCACCCAGCTGCCCCCGGGAGCCTTCCAAAGCGGCTCTCTGGCCACCCCACTCCTTTGAATAGAAACCCCTTCAAGGGCCTACCGCTGTCCACAGCACAAAGTCCAAGTTCAGAGGCCTGGCCCACAGGGCTTTCCACCACTTGCCCCCTGCTGACCTCTGAGGCCTCTTCTCTCCCCGATCAGCCTTAGAGGAGGCACAGACCCCCCACCCCATCCCCACACAACTTCCTCCTGTTGCAGGTCTCAGCCTAAATGTCCCTTCCCCAGAGGCCTTCCCTATCTCCTCAGCTGCATTAGGCCCCCATTCTACCTCCCCCACCATGTCACCCATCACACACTGCCGTATAATTACCAACTCCATATCCATCTTCACTTCAGGACCCCAAGTGCCACAAGAATAGGCACCCTGTTTTGTCCTCTGTCATATTTCAGTGCCTAGATCATTGCCTGGCACACGGCGGTGGCCCACTGAGCACCTGATGAATGTATAAATGAACGTATACACACAGGAATGAATGCCAGGTACCCAGTGGGACTCACAAGATGCATGAGTACACAGGAAGTCTCAGAATCCCAGGGTCTCCATTTTACAGGTAATAACTGAGGCACAGAGGAATCAGAAGACTTGCCCAAGATCACCAATGACTTAGCTACACAGCTGAGAGGCGAACCAGGTCTTCCAACTCTGTTCGGTGCTCCCTCCAGAACCCTACACCTATCTATTAAACCGCTTAGGGTAATGCTATGTTTATTCTAGGGACCAAATTGGAAAGTAAAAGAGAACAAATGCAGTCCCCATCCCTGAAAAATATTATGCTACTCAAGGAAAGGATATTAGAGATACAAGTAAACTTTCTTTTAGTATAGGTTAAATAGATTCATAGAATCTAAGATTTTGGTTTTTTAATAAATTTATTTATTTATTTATTTTGGGCTGCGTTGGGTCTTCGTTGCTGCACCCAGGCTTTCTCTAGTTGTGGCGATCGGGAGCTAACTCTTCATTGCGTTGCGCGGGTTCCTCATTGCGATGGCTTCTCTTGTTGCAGGGCACGAGCTCTAGGCGCGCAGGCTTCAGTAGCTGTGGCTCGTGGGCTCTAGAGCGCAGGCTCAATAGTTGTGGCGCACGGGCTTAGTTGCTCCGCAGCATGTGGGATCTTCCCGGGCCAGGGCTTGAACCCGTGCCGCCTGCATTGGCAGACGGATTCTTTTTTTTTTTTTTTTTTTTTTTTTGCGGTACGCGGGCCTCTCACTGTTGTGGCCTCTCCCTTTGCAGAGCACAGGCTCCAGACGCGCAGGCTCAGCAGCCATGGCTCACGGGCCTAGCCGCTCCGCGGCATATGGGATCTTCCCAGACCGGGGCACGAACCCATGTCCCCTGCATGCATCGGCAGGCGGACTCTCAACCACTGGGCCACCAGGGAAGCCCAGAATCTAAGATTTAAATCAGTCTAGCCAGCTGAGGAAACTGAAGCCAGGGAAAACAGCAAGTTTTCATGTTAAGCACACTTGGTCCTTCTAACCAAATGTGTCGCCATTTATTAGCAAACAGCAGCAATAAGTCTGGTCAAAGATTTCCGAAAGGCCCAGCAACAGCCTGGGCACCTGACCTCACCTCCCACCTGTGCTCCTGGGCTGGGAGGACCAGCACGAGTGTCCTCCCGACCTGCAAAGCCTTCTTGCTTGGGAGGAGTTTTTAATCTCACGCTTAACCGACTGTCCCTCCTCCCGCCAAGGTAGCTGTTGGAGAGGAGAGAATAAGGCTCAGTGACTCCCAGGAGGATAACACTCAAAGCCAGCGGGGCTGGTCGTCCAGATCAACCGCCGGCCACAGTCCAGAGATCAGGGACATGAGCATCAAAGGGACAGCGACAGCTTCTGTCTGGCTACACAGACTCCCTTCAATCTTCCTTCTCACCTTATCACTTGGAGTCAGAGTCCTCCACCCTGGCAACCTCTGCCCCGAGGTTGGCAGGTAAGGGACAGGTGCAAGGGCAGCATAGCAGCCGGTCACCTAGGGTTTCTTTCTCTTCCCTATCAGAGCCTTCGACTCTGGGTGAGAAAAATGGCTGAATCTCACCTTGCAGCGAAGCGAGTGTGGCCAGGTTCCTTAGACCCCTCTGCCTCACTCTCCCCCACCATGGGCCAAGATGCATGAGTCCATGCATCTCGAGGAGGTCCCCAGAGCCAGGCACCAGTGAAGAGGACAGAGTTAGGTGGCAGAGAGACCCTGCCCTCAAGGACAAGACATGTAAGATGCATTCACTGCTGCAGAACTGGGACAGAGGACACAGGGCGCCCCTGAACACCAGCAAAATCCCAGTCCCTAGGAGACCAAGTCCACTGAGGGTACCTCCACGCCCAGAGGGCTTAAAAGAGGTATGAAAAGCCCTAACTACAGGACACCTTTCATACATAATCTTCAGTAATATATTTCCAGCATTTCAAGGATCATTTTTAAATGTACTATATGATATTGAACACATGCAAATTAATATATGTAATGTACATGAAAGCTATGAAACACCCCCGAACTCCTACCAACCAAACCACTAGCACAATCATTGTCTCTGAAGCTCCCTCTGTGCTCTGCATCCCCCAGCCTCCCTGCTTATACAGCGTTACATGTTGGACTTATCGCTCCCTCACTTTTTTTTTTTAATAGATCTTTATTGGAGTATAATTGCTTCACCACACTGTGTTAGTTTCTGTTGTAAATGGGTTCAGTTTCGCTACTCATGGATCCCTAAATTTTTCTTAACTTTGTGTGATATTTGAGAATTATGTAAATAGATTACAGTCTTCTGTGACATGTTTTTGTCATTCATTGTTTCCATGATTCATGTAGCTATAGGTATTCATTTTCACTGCTTTGTAATATTCCATTGGACAACTATATCATTCTCTTGCTGAGGGAGGTTTTGGGTCATTTCCAGTGTTTTGCTATATCAAAGAGTGTGCTATTAACTTTCTCAAAGGTGGCTCTTGGCGCATTTGCCCAAGAATTTTCCTGAGTAGAATTGCTGGTCCTGGTGTGTGTGCATGTCACACATGTCCTTTTCCTTCATAATTGACACACAGTCCAAACCTTTTAAGTCTCATGTGCACCTGACAGTGGCTATGGCTTGCCATGTCCAGTCCACATACTGAATTACATCTGTGCCTGAATCAGGTTAGGTCTAGAAGACACATCGACACTTTGAATCAGTATATCGATACTTTCACTTTTCCATTTTCCACTTAATAAAGCAGCTATAAGTACAAAACCTAACATGGATGTCAAGTTCATGCACAAATTACCAACATTGTAGGAGCAAAGACGGAGACACCGTCGGGAATTCCCTGGCGGTCCAGTAGTTAGGACTCCGAGCTTCCAGTGCAGGGAGCACGGGTTTGATCCCTGGTCGGTAAACTAAGATCCCGCAAGCCGCATGGCGAGGCCAAAAAAAAAAAAAGATGGAGACGCTGTCAGAGTAGGACAGTCTTCTGGTGGGTGGCCCCGCTGTGCAGTGCTTACAACATCCCTCCATCAGCTGACGAGCGGAAGTCGGAATTCACAAGGCACCAATACACAATAGATTCTCAGCGTTGCCTGAAAGTCCAAGCAGGGGTCAAGGACCATGGCAGGCTCATCCTTTCCTTGGCACTTTCCACATGGCACCATCCTTAACTATATATACGTCCCCCTCCCCAGTCATGACTATGAGGCTGTGAACTCCCACTAGCACTCCTCAGAGAACTCAGTAGGTGCTTAATTAATGTTTAATGTAGGGTGCCTAAGAGGTACCCACAAGGTCAGGGCCTCCACAGTGCACACTCCCAGGAGCCCCTGTCACACAGGACACAGCGGTCTACGTGGTGCCCCTCGCGTCGTGCAGTGGGCAAGCCCTACGCTAGAGACCAGAAGAGCCAGCTTGTCACAGCTGAGGAAAGAGACTATAAGCCTGGAGCCAGAAGGGACTCTCTTTTCTCCTTCTGCCTTTGCCGGTTCCAGGAAATATGTTTCTCTGGTCACTTCCCTAACCCCCAGTTCAGATGGAAGCTCTTGCCGTGGCTAGTGACCAGCTTGAACAATAGCAGGGGCTGTTCTGTTCCTGAATTCACCCACAATGGCCAGAGGATTTGGGCAGCTCAGAGAAATCACAAATAAAAAGACTTTTTTTCTCTTCTACTAAAGCAGAGCTTCAGGAGCAACATAATGGCCACTTCCTCTGCCAAAGAACTTGAGTAATGGTTCTCTGAATCTTTAAAACTGAGTCACTATTATTTTTTTAATGGGGAATGATTAATTATAAAACACCCATTGGCAAGTATTGCCTGTCCCTGCCCTTCTTCAAAATACATTTCTTCTAGAACCTGTGAACAATGCTGTGTTAACTATGCTTTTAAAAGCATTCTATGCAGGATGATCACAGTCAAACACTCAGAGAGGAAAGACCACAAGAAAATACCCTTGCTACAGTCAGAGTGGGCAGTGCTGTCCCTACCCAGCCGCCCACCCCTCTGCCTCCTGACCCAAATCTCTGAGTCAGTGCCCGTGACGCCCATGGGGCCGCATAGGAGGCCCTGGGCATCTCTCTCTCTCTTTTTTTGGCTGCACCTCGCGGCTTGCGGGATCTCAGTTCCCCAACCAGGGACTGAACCTGGGCCAAGGCAGTGAAAGCCGGGCATCCTAACCACTAGGCCACCAGGGAACCCCCGCCCGAACAATTCTTTGAAAAGGAAGAGGTGATGTTCACAGAATGCCCTCCTGGTACTTCCACCCACCTCTCCAAATGATGGGACTAGAGGCAATTTCTTTCTCTT